GAGAAGAGGCGTGCAAGTGGACGCGAAGATCGAGGTGACACGAGCCACGAGGTCATAATTAGTCTTGGGCAAATGAAAAGACGCGTCCTAAAAAGCGGACAGGTGGCAAAGTTTGAAATTCAAAAAGCAGGAAGTGGCGGTTAGAGAAGGAAACGAAAGTATTAGAGAAGAAAATAGGCTAGATGGTCGAAGACGAAGCAACAGAACCTCCTCGGCACAGACCAAAACTTACTCTTAGATCGAGTCGTTCAGACTCGACCAGAGTGGGGGGACTAGATGATATGGGATATTATATACTGGACCGGTTTATAGGGCTAATCAAAGGAGACCGACTGATTTGTTGGACGGTCTAGTAAGGATAAGGTCGAATGGTATAGTCGAACAGGACCAGACACCGGCCGTTAGAACATCGAGCAGATGACGACAGTAAAGGAGAGCAGAGGTGGTCGACAGATACAAGTCAGCTGAGCACATGGTCGAGAAAGGGCGATCGAGGAGACATAGACGCACATAACTGGTAGAGCATCGGAGCACATGGAGGAATCTCCAGCACATGAGGAGAAGGACACGCGGCGCATTGTGAGTGGTCAACAGCCGTAACCGACTCTGACATTCTCTGACAAAGGCGACGCGTTCTCTGACATTATGGATAGTGGAGGCGCGCGACCGTACGGACAAGCAGAGGACGGTTAGACGAACGCACTCGCCTCGCGCGTGCAATACAGGTAACTCGCCCTTATAAATAAGGGCGAGAATCCTCATTTTCGACACGATCTGATATACTTTACATCTTTCTATACACTGATATTATCTCTCAAGATCTGACTTGAGCGTTGGAGGCTCTTCACCGGAAAACACCTCCGATGTGGGAGTTTCGTGCAGGTTCCGCATCCAACCGGCGAGGAGAGCAAGCTTAAGGCGAATTCCAGCCGGGCAGGGTGCGAGGCTTGTATTAATGGTCTAGCGCATATATTCACATTTTAAAAACTGTTACTTTTTCTCATTGTATTAGTGTAAATTATAATATTATAAGATATATATAATATTATATGTAATTGAAATTAATTATACATAATAAAATCGGAGAAATAAATATTCATTAAAATATATAATAGTATAAGATATAATAATATTTATTATTTAAATATTATACTATATAAAATTTATAGTCTTTTTAAAATATATTAATAAAATATAATATAAAATTAACTAAAATAATATTGTATTTCATATTATATTTCTTTTATTAAAAAAAATTAACAAATACAATATACATACAATTATATATATATATATATATAAATAGGGGTGTTTAGAATATAAATATAGAATAGAAGGACTTATATGTAATAATTAAAAGATCAAACACAAATTTTTCAGCACAACGCAAATATGCGTTTCTAGAGGAGAGAGAGAGCCCCTTTACGCATTTTGCAGATCCGTTTCCAGTTCGGGTGGAGAGAATTCTACTGTAAAATTTGAGTTTTGCGTCTCGGTTGGAGACGGTCTAATATCTTCAAATAGAGTAGTGTGTAAACTAAATCATTAAACGAATAACTTTTGAGACTATGATTTCATATTAACGATCAAATTATGATGATGTACTATCACTCTTTTAGTAAAACATCAATGATATTTATGAACACTTATACATTATTTATTGATATTTATGTGAACAAAATGATATTGCATTACAACTTTATTATTGTAAGCTAAATTTGAAGTTCTCAGGAGAACTTTAAACTAAATGATAAATAATTTATAAATGTTTATTTTTTTTAATATGTATTTTTATTTATATTAAAATTAGTTTTAAATATAACAAAATTTACTTTAAAAAATCCTTACCGATACAGCCACTGAATGATGTTGACTGGGTTTCTAGCAAACATTTTATTCAGGCGAACCGGACGGGTCGATAAACTGGTTCGTTGATCCATCCAGTCAAACTATTCTGATCCGGTTTTAAAAGCAAGGAATAATTCACGATTAATGTTATTTATATATTAATTTGTAGCACAGTAGTCGCAATATTGTTCCTCGACTACGTAATAGTGTAATAGTGAGTGACTCACACCATTGATATATCCTTTTATTTTTTATTATTTTTATGGTTTCATTTGAAAGTGGGTACACCATAGCATTCCGGACACTTCGTCAAGATTATACATTCGTTTAGGTTCGTTTTAACGCAAATGTATCTCTTGTAAATGCTCATAAAATAAGCAATTTATTTATCGTTTCATTGACAAATGATGCACAACACATGAAATGGTATGCAAACATTTTTTTACTGAATATATTTACATATATAAACGTATATATATAAGAATATTAACCAATAAAAAGCACAAACTTAACTCGCATAAAAATGAAAAAAAAAAAAA